TCCATTGTTCACGGCGTTAAGAGGCGAACTTAAGAGCATAATAAAGTAATATGCGGTCTGACGTTCTCTTCGCTAGTCATTTGGATCGTAAATACCACCAAACATGAAGCCGACCGGTCAAACCTTCTTGTATAATTTGATTTTTGGGTTCCATTCGCGTCATGGTACGTGACGATTGTATACAATCGATGTTGTTTATCTCATAGCAAGCGCTTATCTTGCCAAAATTACCACTTGGCGCCTTCCGACGAGTATTATTCAAAACTAACCGCCACAAGACTATTTTGACATCATGAATCATTAGAAATAATCCAAGACTAAACTACGTCGTTTTAAATCGAGGTCTCTTGAAGAACGGGAACCATTGACCAGTCACTACTCCCACTGCAGTCTTGCTCGGTCGCGTCATCGACGTCATTCTCTTCTGCCAGAGTCGAACTGCTTTGTGAAATAAGCTGTAGGTCTAAGTCAGAGAGAAGCTCTTTCTCGTGAACAATTTCACCGTTTATCTCCTCGGTGTGTTCGTGACTATCCACTGCCGTTTGTTCGGGCAGATCAACTTTAAGAAGCGAATCCTTCTCGCAAATACATCCAAATGTCTCGCCACTCGTTGAAGTCTTCTCTGCATCGGTCGTTCTCGTATCTAGCGAACTCTCCGTCCTCTCCCACTCGATACTCGCCCCCAAATGGCAAGACTGATTGCTCTGTTTATGTTTATCGGGGGTCCGACTCTTTGAGCGAAAATCCGAAATCGCGCTGGCGGCAGAGTTGCTACGAGAATTCTTGAACGCACTCATGTTATAATACTGTCTGTTAGCTTCGACGTTTGAGATCACATCAACATGAAGATGTGACATACTGGTTTCGCTTAACCCTTCTGCATGAAGCTTTCTACTGGCCACCTCTTGATGGTGCAAATCACTCCGCGCGTCCGCAAAAGCCTTTGATATAACCTTCGCTAAGCTCTTCGCTTCGTTGTTGCTCTTACACAATACGACATTGCATTCTACGTATTCTGACTTCGATCCAAACTGATAGGTGAAGAAAAAGACTCGCTGATGAGCCTTGCAAACGCCGGTGAATCGTATTCTTCGAAGAAGAAACACCTTCTCTTCATCCTCCGTACTGTCCCTATCGCGTAAGGAGAGCTCCTCTTTCGTTAACTTCAACGAATAATGATCCACTTTTTTCAGTTTTTGTTTCTCCGCAACGTAAATAGATTTTACCGTGTCACAAATTTCCGCATAACCAGGGCTGCACAACTTCTGCGAGCCGAGGTATTTCACGGAGTAAGTTGGTGTGTGAACAGTGAAATCCACTCGCTGGTAGTCTCGGTCGGCCCCTTCACCATTCGTTCGTGATCTCAGTGGGCGACAAGAAAACAGGCTGATCATATCCTAAAGAGTGTCGTGCTTCACCGTCAGTCGACAGACAGTAGATCTATCTTGTTGCTCGCGGCATGTTTTGTGTATGAACTCGAGAGGGGTGCTTGTGAATTGAACTGCCACACGAAACCCAAGAAGTTCACTCCACACTGAGGTCCTCTAAACACTTACTTTTTTTCTTCCGAGTCAGATATGTAGGTCGGTAAGACCTTTTCACTTCCACCACCGTGCGCTGAAAACAACGTTAATTGACACTTCAATGATATGCAAACTCACCACTCGCGGCGAAAACGTTTCTTCCTTCCTGCAAATTGTTGAGGTTTATTAAGCAGACAAAACAACTAAGCTTCTAAAAGGATGCTCGTGGCTTCTCGCGACTTAGTGTCGGCTTTCACGTCGGCCTTCTCTCCGGTACAGCTCGCGTGTTATGCCTCTATTCCCTCCAGAATGGTGTGTTACTATAATCGAATTTCATGATAATAATCGAGAGATCTCGATGACATGACATGATTTAAATTAATCATTGCAGCTCGCTCCACTGCCTCCGTTCTCTGCTCGCTGCGTATGAGGTATTGTTCTCGTCAAAAATTATTGAAATCGCCGATCGCCCGGTTTCACTCGGAGTCGAATCCCAAGGGACTACCGGCGAAAGAAGATCCAGTCGGCTGGAAGTCAATCCACTTTCCTAGAATCACAACGTGTAGAATTCGCACTCTGCAAACCAAACAAGGCTCGTTTGCATTAATAAGTCACCTGTCAAAAAGTCTACTTAAATATTGATATAGTCAGTTTTGCGTGAGGCAAATCCGGTAGCATTGATTCACGTCAAGTATCGTCTTACACACTTGACACTTGCCGATCGCTCACTTCTCTTTCAGACAAGAGATCTGTAAAAAACAAACAACATTGCATCAACCCTTAACAACGAAAGGTTTAGCATCCATCAGAAATAAATGAAAGCTTACTGATCGCTGTTCGATATTTGCGATCTTACACTTTACACCTTGTGAATAATTTTACTAAAAGATGCATGGCAGGAAGTTTTCCATCATCGGCTGTAACTGGCAGCTGTTCGTGACCTGCGAACTCAGTTTAGATAGCCACTTAAAAACAGAAATAACATTTCTTTATTATTGATCGAGGTTATTAAGTGGTAATCTATCTATTTTTTCGAAGACAGACAAGAATTTGAATGGTGCAGATTAAGGCTTCAAATTAAAACCCCTCCACCGGCTCTAAAGTAAATTTTCAAATATTCATCGCCGATAAGCGCGCATCTGAAATAATCGCTCGAAAACCTGAAATGCATACGATAGACATGACTTGTTTATAAGCATCAGAAAGAGCAAATATATTTTATAATGATCTTTTTATTGGGAAAAGGAATTTTAAACATGCGAATAGCGCGTGGGCTGTTATGATGTATGTCATGTCGGAAACACGACAGGTGCCTTTGTCAAGAGGGTTTCTGCTGACCACGCAGATTGGCCAATTTTTCCTCTGACGAAGGGGTAACGCTCGAAACGTCAGCTTTAAAACTCTTTACAGCGGCTAATTTACGTTATCGACTTACTTGATGATACCAAATTACCCTATTATACTCTCCCACCGACGCAGCACCACAGTTTCTTAAGAAAATTACCCCCTTTATTCAATTTTTCCATGGACAACATAGTGGTCTGCAATTTAATATCAGCCACACATTTCCGCCACGTAAAGAAGTGAATATCGTAAGTCCTGCATGGCACGTACTTTACAGGAATTAAGAAAATATCCATGACTAAATGTACCAGCCCATTCCATCAGGAAATAACATTTTCCGCATCGAACCATTATGAAGAAGTAACTATATTTAGTTCAATTGTAAGAGTGAGTAATCGGTATACATAAATAATAATTTTATAACAAATCTTATAGGAGACAGGGTTGACATTACAAAGCTCCACTAGGATAAGAGTTTTATCTCCGAGCGTTGAAAATATTGCACGAGAGAGAGCTATTCGAATGAGACATAGATATCATCAACTCAGTTTATATTATAAACTGAATCATACCCGCATTTTATAATTGGTTATTGGGGACAAACACAGATTACGTCATCATTTACAATCATTTGCTTCTTCATTATATAAAACGATTAGATTCCATGTTGCCATGGGTCTGTCCAGTGATAGATCACGAAGACATCAAAATTTGGTAAGAACATCTGTGACACACTTGGCTGCGTCTCGCGTGCTTCTTTTCTGTTCAGAAGTCATCTGTGATCTATTACTGAACAGCTGTACGTTACCATGGAATTTAAAAATGGACATGTAACTTATTATCAATGATACGCATACGACTGACGCATGTTCTTCGAAACAAGAAAAATTATGGTATTATTTCACAGCAACTCTTACAGCTAATAAAATCAACTAAATATCAAATGCCATTTACGAAACGAAGTTTTCTCACGCATTTCCAGTTGTCATGAATTAATGAGTCACTTTACACATTTGGCAAGACGATTTGTCACATACATTTGACAAAGATAATAAGTTCCATTCAAACACCCTTTTTAATTTCCCTAAAGTGTCTTCCGTTTCATCTGCACAAGCAAACTATTATTTTCCTCGACGCTTATTCCTCCTCAACTCTTTAAACCCTGAGAGTGATCAGCATCTAATGTCTCCTTACAGAAGAACTGCTGAATCACAAATTAGGATCATGAGAATGAAGGAATTGATCGCCGATCTAAAAAGCTGTGATTGTTAAACAAATTCTCCTTGTCAGTACCAAAGAAAATGTATAGAAAAGGGTAAGGAGGATATGGATACTGACATTTGGTTGTAAAGGGTGAAAATGGCGCTTCTCAAATTTTGGGCAAACTAAATTCTGTTGGAAAAAAGGGGTCACAGCGCAAAAAACAAACTCATCGAGCAAAACACGCTGGTGTGACGGGGATGGTGCGGCTTCAAAATATGAAATTTTAAGACATGTCACAAAAAATGTACGTCAGGATTTACCGAAAATTTTTGCATGAGCGGCTGCAGACGGTGTTGGAGGCAGCTGTGTCGGGAAAAGGTGAAACCCAAACAGGACAGCTTACTCGCAGGCTCGACAGACGGTGGTCAGAGGTCTTCTAGGCGGCGTTGTGGTAACCAGCTTTTTTTAAACCTCTGATAAGCGCACCAACAAGGAAGTGGCGTATTGGCTTCCATGGCGGAGGTGAAACCACAGAATTACTGAATTAACACCCAAATATAAACAAAATGTGACGCCTGTTCCCGAACGGATGCTAAGATCGAATGGCAGTGTGACGTCTTTTCGAGCGCATGCTGCGAGTTGTTTTCGCCTCGGAACAAATGGCGGATCGATACTTCCTGAACCATTTTCAGCCCCTACTCCCACCCTTGGAAAAAACTAAAACTGTCAGTCATTTTATTTTTCTCCTCGAAAAGAGTGCGCTTAAATGCAACAATCATTTAAGCCGCATGATGCACTGCTAGCTATGGTGTGTATGTAATTTTATTCAATAATATTTTCAATTACGGTCAGAATATAGAGGTTGCCGTCCCTTTAAAACCACTGAAACTTTATACAGGAGCATATATCAGAAGTAATTTCTCACATATCTTTGGAAGTGTTTCTTGTTCGACATAACTCTTACAACATCTTAAAATAACCCTTCTCAAACGAATTACAATTTTTAGTGCACATGTTCCCTTATAACACGTTCTCAACTTATTTTGAACTGACAAATTGGGGTACAAATCCACCCTATAAAGTAAGTTAAAAAAATAATAATAATGCGCTATTGCTTGAAAACTCGTTGTTGAATATCATGATCGCCTTGTCGCGTCCCTTCACCTCCCAAGATCTGATTAGTAATTCTTTCTTTTACCTAACAGAGTTTTTTCGTAAATAGTTAAGAGAACTTGGTATTATATACATCAAAACAACATTCCCTAGCTGACAAGCGTATACGTTCTCGTCACTTTTACGCTGCATAATGTATTGATATTGTGAGGAGAGGTTACGGTTTAATCAGTTCTGAGCACTTGGAGGTAAACCAAGGGAAGAGTCGATAGTGCCTGGGAATGTAAGTCGAACTTCTACCTTCTTTAATCATTTCTCACTTCGTTAATGATTTTCAACACACGCAAGCGCAAGACCTTACAGAGAAATCTCAGTTAACCTTTTCACTGCCACGACCTCATGACTAATTCTCCTTAATGTCTGCCAAACAATTCTTAAGACGTTAGTAAGAGAATTTGGTATTGGATCAACTAGTAATCTCCTAACTGACATTTTTCTTTATTCTCATTATTTGTTTGCTTGATAATGTATTGATATTGTGAGGAGAAATTCTATCTTGGTCTCTCATGAGAGTGAAAGGGTTAAAAGAGTGCTCTTCGTCTTACAGCCTAGATGTCAGTAAGAGATGTTTCATGTCTCGGAAACTCTCGTCAAGTGAATGCTGGAACTTTTTGGCATCCGTAACCTCAGAGGTTGTAAACGTCGCGATAACAAAGTTAATTCTGAAAGGAAGAAGCAAAATGCCACAATTAACATTCAGGAGCTCTGGCAGCAAGAGACCGTGAAAAACACTTTTGCCTGGGGCGGGAAAATTGAGTAGTTAACTCACCATTTATTAGCGGCAAGGGGATTCGATCCGATTGCCAAGCTCGACAAACAGAGAAGCAACGAGGACATAGCATGGTAAAGGATTCTAAACTCGTTCTGTTGACAAATCCTTGTAAAATGTATTTTGATTAACTCGCCCGCTCGTTCAATCTCGTTCTCTTTAGGTCGCTTCTTCGACCTTTCTTTTTCTTTTTTTGAATTCGTGTCTATTTTTTTTTCCTTTCGTCCTTAAGTTTCGCGTTCGTTCGTTTGCTCTCTTGTTATTTCTTTCGCTTTTCGTTCATTCGCTCGTTTGTGCGTTCGCACGTTCGCGCGTTCGCGCGTTCGCTCGCTTGTTCGATCTTCCGATCTTTCGTTCGCTCGTTCGTTCGTTCTTTCGATCTTTCGTTCGATCGTTTGTTATTTCGTTCGTTTATTCGCTCGTTCGTGCTTTCGATCTTTCGTTCACTTGTTCGCTCGTTTGTTCGTTTATTGTTTCATTCGCTTTTTCGTTGATTCGCTCATTCGCTCGTTCGTTCTTTCGATCTCTCGTTCGCTTGTTTGCTCGTTTGTTATTCCGATCGCCTCTTCGTTTATTCGTTCCTTCGCTTATTCATTTAATAGCTCACCAGTTCGTTCGTTCGTTCGCATCCTTTCATCTTATCTTTCTGACTCGTTGGTTTGAACATTTGAAAGGAAGTCTAATTTAACACTCAAGTGACTGTGGCATAGTTCTTTGAACCAGAATAACTCACCTGTTGTCCTCGATGCTATAGAATGCTCCATACCCGTCTTTCACCATTGCAGCGCAGCCACCAAGTATTGAAGAAAATCCTACACAACTTGTCGACAGGACGAAGTTGCCACCACCACCGCTGCAAAACACCGCGAAGGAAACCGGGATTAAAGAATGAAAGACGTAGTTCCAAGGTTTTATTGGGCCAATTTTCAATTGAATGTCAAGGAGTTTTACTTCATTTCGCCTTGTGATTGGTCGAAGAAGAAAGAATCGTAAACCAATCAGATCCAAACCTTAAACTAATCACACACACTTTCCCGCGCTCCAGGCGGTTTCCCTGTTTCCCCGCAAGAACTTTTCGGTTTCTCAAAGTCGCCATTCTATTACTTGTTTTTATTGGCGGTTGCGTTAACTTTGTTCGAACTCTACGATTTTCAATCAATATGCGCTACAAGACGAGACATGAAAGCGAAAAGAGTGTAAGAAAAGAGTACCTAGGCACGCATATAATAAATTGACCAACCAAATGCGCGCGAGTATTGCACTTAGTATATTTCACTATTATAGTACAGGAAATAAATACCTCGCCGTCCACGCTTTATCTGTGTAGATAGCCGGTGTTGGCAATCCTGGGTAACAAAAAATAATTTTAAAAACTACTAAAGATACCGAATCACGAATTGCCAGACGCTACAATTTAGTTCACATACCTGCAATTCATACAAAATATACGATAGACATGCGTGACAGTTGATCGGACTCAAGAATCAGCAATAATTTTATCTTTAGTCTAACAGCGAAAATAGAGAAAATTATTCTGTTTGGACACTTGGAATAAAAATTATTTTCAGATAAAAAAAGAGTAAGTAAAAAACTAGAGAGAGAAACAAGAGGAAAGAAAAGAAACAATTCAACATTCATGACGTCGTGTGGGTGTCATGGATGACTGGTAACGCAACGCAACGCAATCACTATTGTTCAGTTGACACACCGGTTGCCATTAATTTGCATAATTGTGGTTACAAAAGGTCGAAGAAACGACACTTAAATACTGCGACGGCTTCTTAGCTAAAACCGTTACAAAACCATTGGCAAATATTTATGATGTATTAGAAAACGAAATATGTTCGGATCAAGGGTATTTATTCCATTTTTATCACGAATATATTTCAGAAAGAACAACGGAAACACGTGGGTTTAAATGTCGCGCATTTATTAACATTTCGCAATAAATAAACACATCTTTCTAAACCAAAACAGTCCATCGGCAAGGAAAACCTTGTTACGGCTCTCTCCTATATTTTAGGTCTGCCGTGCGGAGTTCTGAACAGCAAAGCGAAGAAAATTGTTTTTGTTGACATGAAAGTGTAGTTCTATTACAGATATCGCGATGGTGCCACATAGTGCACCCTCTACCAATTGCTTAGGTAGGAAGGTTCATTACACGGCATCACTAAGTTAGATATGGTTACTTTCATTAAATTTATTATCATAAGAATATCAACCGCTCTGAATGCGATCACCTCCTCCCAGTCCTCACTAATGGAGTAAAGGGAACGGTCATCAATCGTCGCCGACCGATTGCCGTGAAGACAAAATCGGCGACGTGCTTCGCGCTCAGAGGTGAACGCTACGCATCGTCATCACGGTTGATGGTGTTGTCTTTGTTGGGATGCAAAGACGGGACGCGTACTATAGAAATGATCCTAGTAAGTACGGTCTTGATTAACATTGAGTAGCCACAAGGACTAGTTTTATATCTAGATCGCACGGATATGGTAGATCGGGGTTACTTTTAACCTGCGCGTGCGTAATTGAGACATCTTCGAGGCCCAGGCCCCTACACAGTGTTGGGTTTCTTTGACAATTGTAGTTTCTTTGACAATCTAACAAACCCAGATGAAATTTCGGTTGTAGTCCAGAATTAGACTCAAACGTATCACAAGGAAACGCCAAAATTTTAATGCCGTTCGACTTTAGGGCTCACAAACCGAAAATAAATTCTATACATTGTTGAAAGACATATTTCCGTTTCTGATGAGATATGGCTAGGGAACTTTGCCACGGTTTGCTTATGTTCAAAAACTTTAAGTTTTTTCTTCACACCTTTGCTGTGCATTCTTTCTTGGTTTTACGCGAGAAACGAATTTTTTTCGCATCAGTCAATGTGTCATTCACAAGATGGAATATAGTCGACAGAGATCATCTGATTCGTTTTTGTAATGAACTAAACTCGCTACATTACCTTCGGAGGCAGCTATTAACTGAAGCCCCAGCAAGTGACGATCAATTCCTGAACGGGAAAAGAAAAGGAACTGTTAATTGCTAAATTATTCTTCAATTTTGCAATTCTAATTTTTCATTACCCTTTCAGGGAGACTCTGTGACAGAAACATGAAGGTTCAAGAGTTAGTATTCATACCTTGGCCATTGACCGCGTCTCTCATGAGTGAATCATGACTCGTGTAAGCTTCACGAAACAACCGCATTTTCGTCGACTTCTGACAAATACGAGAGCAAAAGACGAGTGACAAGCAGCTAATTTCTCCCTACAATATTGCCCGTGAATCAAACATTGAGGACACGAGAATAAAACAAATGAGCAACAGTCAAAGAATCTCTTGATTGTTACACAAATTCTCTTTGTCGGCACCTTAGAAATGTGTAGACAACTGTATGGAGAATATGCATATTGATACTGGGGCGTAGAAAGGTGAAAGAGACATTAAATGGCTTATAAATCTATCATCAAGAACATTGAGGCCTAAGCTAACTCGAATTACGTGATCTTTACTAACTCAAATTGTTGAAAAGTCCCTTACATCAGCATTGCCATCGAACATTGCTTTACACCAGGCCACTGATTCCATGGTACATGAACGAATCTGAAACAAAAAAATAAAAGGAGGAAATTTTTTACAATTCATTTTTTTTTTATTCCCTCCACTAACTAACAAAGCTGGTCACTTTGACAAAAAGGGGTAGCTTTCTTCAAAATAAACTGTGGCGCTGCGTCGATATGGGGTACTACGAGATGTTTGGTCTAATTAACTGAATTAAAAATGTAAATTGGTCACGGTGACGAGTTTCTAAAGCTGACGATTCATGCGTTAGCTCTCCTTCATAGAAAATGGCGAAGGGCTAACGTCCGAAACGTTAGCTTTTAAAACTCTCTACGGTGGTCAATTTACATCAACAACTCAGCTGATGAGACCAAATTATCCTCGCTTTGAAAACGTCAAGGTTGCAGAGGAGGCTTGTTCCGGGATTTTTTGCCTAGTGTACAAATAACTATCACCTTTGACGTTTTTGACTGGGAGTCAGCCCGCTGTGGTATTGATTTTGCAATTTATTGACAGGACATCAACCTATTTGATCCGGGGCGTAGAACTGAATTTGAAAATTACTTCCTTTGCGGCTTCTTATAAAACCAATACCATTTGCTCATCAAAAGACTTAATTAACTAAAAAGGAATGACAACTAAGTTGTTGAATAGAAACACATTTTACAGGAAACTCACTGTTTCTGTCCGTCCGTGATAAAATTGTCGAGTCTGACCTGTTTCATAAGTGGGCGCAGGTCTAAAGAATAACAAAGTTCAATGATTAGTTGCAAATGAGAACAAAAGTAAACATCAAAACAGTTAGTAGCTCCAACACACGTACTTACTTGCGATGTAGCCTGTAATACGCCAGTTGAATTGCCAATTGTACAAACGTGTCTGGGTGAATCTTGTAAGGCTTAATAAAACCTTTTCCATATTCCCGTGATGAATGCACAGTGATATTTACATCGTCAGCCTGCCGAGTGAAAAAGGTGGACATAGAAAAAGTGGGTTGTAATTTTTGTTTCGCGTGATTTTTTTGGGATTTTGAGGAACAGCTCCCATTCATCCATTGATAAATTCTTGGATCATAGCCGAAAAACGATCAACAGTCGGCTGCCAAGCGCCGGCCAACAGTCAGCCGACAGAAGAGGGACAGTTGGCCGACAAACGACCGACAGTCAGCCGACAAAAAACCGACAGTTGGCCAACAAAAAACCGACAGTCGGCCGACAAACAACGGACAGTTGGCCGATAGACGACCGAGGTATCTTCAAAAGGTATTGTACTTCCCTTCAACATGATCTCCTCAACAAACTTATCCATTTCTAACAACTCCATTATCAAAACACGAAACTGTTTCAAGGTACATTTGATATAAACAAATAGATTTACCCACCGCTTCCTGATATTTTTGAACGGCCAGATCTACTGCTCGGTTAATACCATCATCAACTTCAAAAACCAGTTCTTGGGGTTTATAATAGTTCTTCACTTCTGAATTTCCCTGATCAAATCAAAATGCATGTAATTTTGTTCACACACTCGCAATTCAATTACGCACGTAATTTGATTGGTTCTTTCTTATGATTTGTTAGAGGACAGACGCACAGATGAAGTCACCGTTACCATTCTTTTGCATCGTTATCATATCCAACAAATAGATTCTTCATGATTAATGCCGTGGTCTGTTCACCAATAGATCACAGACGACGTCAAAATGTGATAAAAACATCAGTGACACACTCATCTGCGCCTTGTGTGCCCCTTTTTTGTTCTCACCACATTTTAACCTTAGGAGTGACAAGTGTCCAAATTCTCCTTGCAGTAATTCTCCTAAATCATTCATTAATATCACGAGAATAAAGGAAATGATCGCCAATCTAAAATGCTTCGATTGTAGAACAAATTCTCCTAATCCAGACCAAAAGAAACGTGAAGAGGCGAGTATGGAGAATATAGATACTGATGTTAGGGTGTAAAGGGTTAACGTCATCCATGATCCATCACCGAACTGACGAGCGGCAAAATGGAATCTATTCGTCAGTGAGATATAGTAAGCTTTTTTAAACCCACCCCCCCCTCCCCAGGAGTGATAATTATCTCAATTCTCCTAACTTTTTTGATTCACAGACAAGAAGACAAGTTGTGAGAATTACAAAACTTGTCAACAACATTGTGCGCGATATCGCCGTGATACAACTCCCAATTGTCAGGCACATACATGTACATGTATAGCTAACAAAGACAGTCAAAGCCACCTGGAAGACAGAGTTAGCTCTCACACATCAAGAGCGAAAGATTTGAAGGGTGTATGGCTGTCAACTACAAGAATATTCAAACAGGTTTTAAAATTATAAACAGAATAAAGACGAACTGCAGGCTAAACATTCATAATCAAATTTTATATTTAACAAACCTTCCACTCTCCACCTTTTTCTTTCAGATATTTTATTGCCAAAATGATAGAGTTTATTTTCACAACACCATCAAATGGAGTGTGCTGAAACATAACAGAACAGT